TACTTTTTTTCGTATTTTTCCAACGAAACATGACCTGGTGCACATGTTAGTACTTTTTATGTACATCTTTATTTTTCAGAAACTCTTTGATGCAATTTGACATGGAATCCATTTAGAGCAGTCCCCATTGATGTTGTGGTCACAGTACCACACATCTATAATGCCCATCACAAGCTTATCTTTTGTCATACAGTTCACAATCTCACTGTAAGGCTTGCCAGTGTGTTCAAGCAGCATCACAATTCTCATATGCTTCCTTGGAGTAATGCCCATTGCAAAAAATGGCAGGAAGGACAACTAATCAACAGTAAAGACAATAGTGTCTAGGTATGATAAACATCTGATGCAATCACCGATGACGCAATATGTTTTAAGGCAAAACAAATTTCATCATACACTTTGAAAATAGATTCATATTACTGCACACCACTGCAAATGACCTAATCTGAGGAAAAAAAATAGAAATCAATTTCATCCTGTCACTCCAGTGGGTCTAAAACTGACCGCATGGTGAAAGAAAGGAAAATAAAGTGGTTGTTTCAATTAATTTGCACAAGGGTGCATGAATAAAAATTTGTTGACATATTTAATTCTTTATAAATTGGTAAATGTAATTGCATTGCATTAGTTCTAATTGTATTAGTTTTTAGAATATTGTAAATATAAAATTATTGTAATAAATAGACACTAATAGTGTTTAATATTTTTGTTGTAAATTCTCAAGAACAAAAAAATGGACAAGTTCAATGTTTAGATTTTATCACAAATCTGACATATTTATAAATCTACCATTTATCTTTGCTTTCAATATTGCTGCCACATCTGGTCTGGTGCTCCTGCTATTTATTTAGAGATTCTTAGGTTTCATCATATGTTTAAGTTTTATTACAATCTTAATCATCACTTTTTTATTTGCTGAAGAGTGAAGGTAGTTAAAATAATAGCAGTGTCAATGGAAAAACTCTCCATTTGACACTCCATCTTTTTGCAGGCACAATGATCAAAGTTAGACAAATTTCTTTTTAATCAGTTCACCCTAACTAACCAAGGTGATAATGTCACTAAAATGCAAAGAGTTACTGGTAGTGAAAGAGAATAAGAAGACTTTAGTGAAGAGAAAGGACAATAAAAACAGGTTTCAGGAACACAGATGATGCCAATAATGCCACTAACATGCAAAGGGTTACTGGGATGAAAGAATGAGAAGACTTTAGTGAAGAGAAAAAGGGACAATAAAAGAAAGGTTTCAGGAAGACAGATGATGCCAAGCCACTTGCAAAGGGTTAATGGGGAGTGAAAGAGAATGAGAAGACTTTAATGAAGAGAAAGGACAAAAAAAACAGGTTTCAGGAAGACAGATGATGCCAACAATGCCACTAACATGCAAAGGGTTACTGGGAGGAAAGAAATGAGAAGACTTTAGTGAAGAAGGACAATAAAAAACAGGTTTCAGGAAGACAGATGACAATGCCACTAAATGCAACTGGGGTTTCTTTAGTGAAGAGAAAGGACAATAAAAGAACAGATGAAGACAGATGATGCCAATAATGCCACTAACATGCAAAGGGTTACTGGGAGTGAAAGAGAATGAGAAGACTTTAGTGAAGAGAAAGGACAATAAAAGAACAGGTTTCAGGAACACAGATGATGCCAATAATGCCACTAACATGCAAAGGGTTACTGGGAGTGAAAGAGAATGAGAAGACTTTAGTGAAGAGAAAGGACAATAAAAGAACAGGTTTCAGGAACACAGATGATGCCAACAATGCCACTAACATGCAAAAAAGGGTTACTGATGCCAAGGAAAGAGAATGAGAAGACTTTTAGAAGAGAAAGGACAATAAAAAACAGGTTTCAGGAACACAGATGATGCCAACAATGCCAACTAACATGCAAAGGGTTACTGGGAAAAGAGAATGAGAAGACTTTTGTGAATAGAAAGGACAATAAAAGAACAGGTTTCAGGAAGACAGATGATGCCAATAATGCCACTAACATGCAAAGGGTTACTGGGAGTGAAAGAGAATGAGAAGACTTTTGTGAATAGAAAGGACAATAAAAGAACAGGTTTCAGGAAGACAGATGATGCCAATAATGCCACTAACATGCAAAGGGTTACTGGGATTGAAAGAGAATGAGAAGACTTTTGTGAAGAGAAAGGACAATAAAATAACAGGTTTCAGGAAGACAGATGATGCCAATAATGCCACTAACATGCAAACGGTTACTGGGATTCAAAAAGAATAAGAAGACTTTAGAAGGAACTGGATTAATTATAGGGAGGAGTTTGGGACAGGAGTAGAGGCTTATCCCTTGGTTCCTGTTTAAGATTGGGTTTCCAGTTCCTTCTAAAGTCTTTTACTTTTCTTGCACTTTCATTAGCCCCTTGTGTCTTAGTCGCATTATCAATGTTGACAGGTGTTTGTTTTCTTATTTATTTATCTTTCTTTTTTTCTAATCAATCCATCCCAAACAATACAATAATGCCACTAAGACGCAAATGGCTATTGGAAGAGAAAAAAAAGGAAAAGACTTTAGAAGGAACTGGAAACTCACTCCTAAACAGAAAACAAGGCATAAACCTCTACTCATGTTCAATAAGTTTATATGCAAGACATTATTTTTTGTTAAATTGAGTTTTATAGAGAGATAGTGTATATCACTTGAAAACATTTTGAAATATTTTTCAGGATGTTTTACAAAATTATTTTTCTGTCTGAATTTCTGGGATAAAAAGGTTTTTTTTTTTTTTTTAACTATTTACATTATCCTCATCTTTGTTGTTGTTATCACACTTCGCCCATTCACCCCTCCGGTCTTCACCAGAGGAATATCGATCCAAGTAACCTATAGGGAATTCCAAACTGAACTCTTTAAGGGGTCTCGTTCCACTTGCCATGTCTATGAATATCTGGTCTAGTTCTTATTTTTAATATTGTTCAGTTATTACTCGTCCAGTTTCCACTGAGCACAAGTACACACTTCCCGGCCCAGGGATTGAACTCACAATGTCACCAAATACAAGAACTAAGGCTTTTTAATCCACTACGACCCTGTATTACCCGGATCGATATACACCTGATGAAGGCAGAATGACGGCTGAAACGTTGATAGCAACAAAAATGAAGACAATATAGTCAGTTTGTAAAAAAATAAATTATTTTTGTTGCTATTTTGTAATACTACCTCTAAAAAGAGAGAGAGAAGGAAGGACTGAGACAGGAATCTGTATTTTTTTTTTTAAAGAGATCATCTTTAGTCTAAAAAAAAATTACAGAGCCTTCTTTGATGAATTTCATCTCAACATGAAGAAACTGATTAGACAACTGGAAAGGATCAGTAAAAAAATAAGTAGGCACAATCTATTATTCAATCAATATGCTGCAAAAAAAAAATATACATAGTTTTAAAAAAAATACTTTCATTTTCAAATATATTGTAAATTAGTAAATTATGTAATTAATTTGAATTTTCGAAAACTAAAGTTAAAAATTATTAGCTTCTTAAAAACCATAGCAGCAACTGTAATCATCCCAAGTTAAAAATGCATTTTGTTTGTTTTTTCTTTTTTTTACTTCAGAGAGTGAAATCAAAATTGAGAGATGTTAATTATTATTATCGAAAAAAAAAAAAAATAGATTTTTTAAGGAAAGAGTTCCACCCACTCGTTTTGGAAACGAAATGTTACATTTCTCAAAATTGCTTTTAATAAGAAAAAATAAGCCAATGATTATTATTAAAGAAAATGATCAACATGAGAAGAAAAAAGTATAAACTAATTGGTGCGTTTATTTTTTTTTTATATGTATTAAATTTTAATTTTACTTTATTAATATAATCATCCATTTCACAGGACATCTTTTTATTTTTCAATATATATTCTTCCTCCTCCAGCATCCCACAAAGAATACAAATCTCTACCTACAACACTATAAGCAAAATGCAGTCGTAAAATACTTCCTCTTTAATGTTTATATATGCAATATGGTTCGTTTGATAATAAATATTTAGAGGGGGGCGATATCGAAATTAAAAGTTAATATGTCACGAGCTATCAATTTGCTTTTTTTAAAGCTCCAGTCTTCAAATGATGAACGATTGAATTTCGTTGTTCCGTGTACTTTAACGTGTAAACAAAGTAGAGAAAACGGGAGAAGGAGGGTGAATAATTAATAATAATAATATGCAACAACAAATAATGGTGTGTAGATGTTGTGTTTGTCAACTGACATACTTCCTTCCTACCTCTTCTTATAAGTTTTTAGTTTTCCCTACCACTCATTATTTAAAACAGTGATGGCGGGTAGAATCTAAGAAGCGATAGTGCATCATCAGTCGACTATTCGTTTCTGAAAGTCTACTTTGTTTCAAAAACAAGAAAAAGTATCTTGTGAGAGTCTCCGGCCGACCCAACCAAGGTGCGTATAGGTTAAATGTCATGTTTACTTCATCATTGCCACGTGCCAACAACTGACCAGGAAAAGACAAAAGCTACTGAAGAACGGGAAAGAAAGAAGCTTTAAAAATCCAATGTGAAGATCAAATCCAGTTTTTAACTAGCATATCTTTCAATCAAAACTATATCCACTCCCAAAAAAGAGGAAAAAAAAAATTTTTTTTTAAACATTTAAGGATACTTTGTTTTTAACTAAGTGACCAATAAATCTTGGCGCGGATTTCAGTGGTGTTTCAAAAAAAAAAAAATAGAACACAAGATTTAATATTCAGAGAACACGCATTGACATTTTTTTAAATCTTATTCGATACCTTCGGAATCACTTTCTGCTTTCTGTCTTCTTCCTCTTGTAGCTTGTTTCCGAAAGCTTTTCTTAAACTCGAATTTACAAGGCGTGGGTTCAAGCTCTTTGACATCGGATTCAGCCATACTGTTTATGTGGGCTTGTATCGGACGTTCTGATTGGCTAAATCCGCCGTCAGCCAAAGCGTTGACCAATTACAATCGGTGTTACAAATCAACAACAAACAGCACGTTTTCTCCAATGTCGGGTGACAAAGGTCCAGTGGATTTCAACGTGTGTGTTGTGATACCGGCTGGAGGGTATGGAGAACGTACCGGGGTTACGACCCCCAAACAGTTCTGGCCCATTATGGACAAACCGTTGATTGCTTACACGTTAGAATCATTTAACAGGCAAGTGAATTTTTTTTTTCCTTTCTTTTTCTAAGGCTCCACAACGACTGCGTGTGTGTATGTGTACGTTTTTTAACTGTGAAAAGAGACATAAAGACGTTTTTTTTCGTTTTTTTTTCAAAGTCCCATTAAAGCATTGAAATAATTTAGATTTTACAAGTACACAGATGTAAAGGTAAAAGATCTTTGAAATCGGCCTGGAATCGCCCATTTCCAGGTTTTAGCCGGTGCCCGGAATGGAACCTCAGACCTCACGACCGTCTGCCCAATGCTCGCGATGTGTTTATTTCTTGAAGGACGGAATTTTGCATCTGAATTTATTTTTTATTGGATTATATTTGTTTTAATTTCTAAAATTAAGTTTTTACTTATTTTTATTTAAAATTAAAAGTTGTTTTCCCTTTGCTGCTTTAATTTCATCTGAGCAAAAAAATAAGTGAAGTTGAGTTTTTTTTTTTTTTTTTTTTTTTTATATTAGGAATATGAAAATCACAAACCATAAATTAAAAATAAAATTAATTAGAAATTTTAAAAGAAGCAACGAGGGGATGCAGTCTAATCAGATTTTTACAGTGTACAAATGTACATTGATTTTTAAATAAATTATGCAATAAAATTAATTCATAATCTTTTTTAAAAAAAAATCATCTGTGTAGAAAACTAGATTTTTTTTTGTGGGGGGGTCCATAAAATACCACAAATATTTTCCTTTTTCATAAAATAAAGAAAATTATGATTTTTTTAATAATGGTTGATTGAGATCATTAAAGAAAAAATACTTACTTTGCCAAGTCCTGTATTTTTTTTAAAATAATAAAAAAAAATCTCCCCCACCCAAAAAATTCAATTTTTACTACCTTTTTTGGTAGTAAAAATTGAATTTTTATATTTTAACTAAAAAATTCTTACCCCAAAAAATAATTAGGATTCTCAAAATTTATTTATTACTTTTAATTTAAACGAATTCATAAGCTATTTCAATTTCAGCCTTTTATTTTTATCAATTATTAATTTATTTACCGCCTACCTTTTTTTTTTTTTTTTTAAAAAAAAAAATTAAAATGAAGCAAAAAATTGTAATAATTATACACTCTCCTGATTACCTATAAAACATTTTAACTTTTTAAGAATATGTATTTTTAATTTATTTTTTTAATATTTTCATTTATCAAACTCCTTTTCATGAGCTTCTTGTGGTTGTGTATATGCGTGTGTCTCCTTGCCTATTGTTTTGTTTTGGAATGTCAACAGACACTCTCCCCCCCCTTCTCTCTTGCCTGTTATTTTCATATCTAGGTTCCTGCTTTTTCTCGCTTTTGTGTCTGTCTGTCTGTCTATCTATCTATCTATCTATCTATCTATCTGAGACTCTTTCCTGAACACGTGCTTTCCTTCCCACTCCCTTTATATATTGTTCTCTCTTTCTCTCATTGTGTTTATCTGCCCTTGTTTAAATGCATTCACTTTTTTGGTTAATATTTTTCAATTTTCAGTGTTTTTTTTTGCAGTGTTTAACTCTAGGCAGAGTATTTTATTATATTTTTTATCTTCGTTTTTTTTTTCTTGCACTTGTTATTCTCTGTTTCTCATGGCTCTTTTCTTTCTTTTTTTTTTTTCTATTTATTGACAATGAAAAAAAATTCTATTTCACTCTTGCCATCATTTTTAATTTAATTTTTTAAATAGTTTTTTCAGTTACACAATAAAAAAAATCTTATGTAGCTGCCTCATACTTTTCTTTTTGCTTCATTTTGAAAATTTAATTTTCTCCTCTGATTCTCTTAGTTTTTAAAGATGAGCTACATTTCTTTTAAATCGTATTTCACCTTTTTTTCTTTCTTTTTTTTTTTTTGCATAAAAAGTATTGTCGTTTTTTAATTTTTTATTCAAGATTTACTAGAGTTTCATTTAAAATTGACACATAGTGTAAAATAAAATAAAAATCGCAAATTTCTCTTCTTTTTTTTTTTTTTTGTTGTACTTATGAACCACGTCGACAAATTAAATTTTGATATAGATGGGCAAAAAAAAATAAAGAAAATCATTCCTCATAAAAATAAAAAAAAACTTTTACGAACTACTTGGAGATGTTTTATTTTTTAAATAAATGAATTAATCCTGGAGAAGAGACTTTCTTTTTACTTGTAATAAATGAAAGAAAGAAAAAACGAAATAGTAGTAATCTTGTTTCATCGTAGAATATTATTAGACAACCGTTGCTTGTAACTAAAATCTTTAGCTTCAAGACATTTCTGTGTATGCATAAAAAATCAGAATTAATGTGTTTCTTTTTTGTCACAATCAATTTTAGTTCTGACCGCTTTGATTGGTCCATTCTGTCCACACCCACTGAGGACGTAACGCATCAGGATAATGATGATATCGATTTGGGCCCACATGCACACAAATTGACATCGTTTCTAATGTATCTTTTTTCTCTAATTTCTTTCTTTTTTCCCCTCTTTCTTTTCTGTCTCCCCTTTTCCCCCTCTCTTTTCTGTCTGTCTGTCTTCTTTTTCTTTCTTCCTTCTCGATGTAGTAATATTGCTTATGTCTATTTCATTTTCTCCCTCTCTGCTATAAGAGAACACATGCAATTGACTTTTTTTCCTCTTCTTCCTTAAGACAGTTTTACATAAATTTTTGTTTCCAACATGCTCAGTGGTTGTGGTAACTAACACTACCATCAATTTTTTTTTTTTCTTCATCATTTATTATTATTATTATCTAACAATTTTCCTCCCAGATAAACATGGAGAAATGGTAGAATTAACATAAAATTATATAAAATTACATGTTTTTTCATTGTTTTCTCCTCGTTAGGGATCCTGTTCAATCTTTTTTCCTCAATTTTTGAAGAGACGATCTGTGATTCGTACGAGTGCCTATAAAAATATTCTATGTAGGAATTTTTTTATCTTTCACACTTCAGAAAAAATCTGCCATTCTAATCTTTTTCCATCAATGTCGGTGAAATGACTTTTTTTTATTGACTGCTTGCCAGAGTTAAAATAAAAAAGCTAAAACATTTTTTTTTTTTACATTATGATTAAAATTGGTTTATGAAAAAAAGATTCGCCCAAATTTTAATTAACAGAATTTTTTATCCATCTGAAAAATGTATAAAATAGGCAAACATTAAAAAAAATTTTAAAAAAAGTACAAGTTTTTAGTTTCTTTACCGTGAACCTGGTTACAAGTGTACCAATTATTACAGGACAAGTATTGATTTACTTACTGACTCATAATAATGCTTGCATTTTATACGTGAAATGTACTAAGTATTATAGGACAGAAGTTAAAAAATAAATTAATTAGTCTTATTTCTGTCCCATAATAGATGTTACATTTGGCGGCAGATTTCATACACTGATGTACTAAACATTATTGGACAGAGCGAGTATTGATTACTATCCCATAATAGTTGTTGCATAAACATTTCAACATACCATAATGTACCAATAATTGTGGTACAGAAGTAATTTTTCTAATAATCTTTGCATGCAAGTTTAAATCACGCCAAAAGAAAGTAGTTTAAGAACTCAAATTTTCAATTTTAAAATTGACATACATTAATCATGTTATTATACACTATACAGCAAAATATAATTTTTTTAAATTGCATTTGGACTGGCTAATTTTCAAAAGGCAAATTGGGTTTCCACATTTCATGAGATATTCTCAAATTCCATATTTTCAAGGTAGTACATACAAGATCTGTATCAAAAAGTATGAGTACTGATGCTTATTAAAAGAAAATGACACATATCAATTCGGTATTTAATCTCCTTCAAGGTAGTCCCCTTCTGAAGGCAAGCATTTTATCCAACGTTGTTTCCATTGATAAAAGCCGTCCTGGAACTCCTTTTGGGGGGACAGTGAGCAGCTACCTCATTATATTCTCATGGACTGCCTCTCTATGCCTTCAAATCTTGTTCCTTTCAAATAGAATTTGATTTTTGAAGATGAAAGAGTTTCAAGGGGTGAGAGCTGGGGAATATGGTGGTTGTCATACCAGGGGAAAGTTGTGCTTAGCCAAAAATTGATATGATCAACATAATTGAGAATGTCACAACTTACAGTGTGACAGTTCAAGATCAAGCAGCTTCATCTGTGTCATTTAGTTCTGTTACCATAGCTACAATCCCAATGCTTTTTGATCAGACCTTTTTATATATATATATATATATATATATATATCTTTAAAAATCACAATTGGAAAAAAATTCTTAGTCTTTACCGACATGTTTCATCTTCCAGCTTTATCAAGGCAAACCATGAAAGAAAAATGTTTTGTAGCCATAATTACATTAAAATAAAATAAAAAAAAAAAAAAAGAGAGAGAGAGGCTCCTGCCTAAGCCTCTTTCTGGATATTGGTATTGGTAACTTCCTTTTAACTAAGAGTTTGCTTTTTGTTTTCCATGTCAACAATATATTTAAATTTTCCCTGAATAATTCTGAAGATAAGACAAATTGGTTTAAATATGACAATTTCGCTTTCATTGTTTGCCTTGATAAAGTTAGAAGACAAAACGTGTCAGCAAGAACTAAGAATTTTTTCCAATTGACATTCTTAAGAGCACACACACACATATATATATATATATATATATATATATATATATATATATATAAGGAATATTGTCTTAAAGTGTGGTATATTTATGGGATAAACTTCTCAATATCAGAGATAGAGCATGTGTAAATATAAAAGTGAACATTGAAGTCAACACTTAGAGGTGACAGGCTGTTTCATGCTAGACACAATTGTCAGGCCAAATTATATATATGTATATAATGTGTGTGTGTGAGTATCAGCGTGTCACACTTTTTCAACTTTACTCCTAGGCACTGTAGCCCAACATACCATACCATTTTTGAATTGGGCTGACTCTATGAGCAATTAAAAACATTCTGGATCAGAGCCTTGAATCCTGAAATTTTGAATTCCCAAGTTTTCATTACTACAGTTGTTTTTGGCCAGTTTTTTTTTTTTTTTTCTGTGATTATTTGCGACAATTTTTTTTTGTTTGCTTTTATACAATTATAATTTACAACTTGGAAATAATCAAAATTAATTGCAAAAGTCATCCATGAAATAAAAATAATTGTTTGTATGGAAAATAAGGACCTACCTACATTAAATTGTCTTTAAATTAAGTCGCAGCAAAAGAATCATTATTGAACTTTTTAAAAGGTAAGCTTAAATATTAATGCAATACTTAAATGGTTACCAATTTTTGAGTTCTTCTGTAGTTTATTGTTGCCTATTGCATACGGCGGCAGTATGTCTTGCAAAAATAAATCTCTGCTAACAGAGGACCAGATTGCAATCAAAAGAACCAAGGCTGCAGCGAGGAAAAAGTCCCATGCAAATGAAAATCCAGATCAAATGGCAGCCAGGAGAGCTTCCAATGCTGAGAATATGCAAAGACTTAGGGACTCTCAAATTCCTAAACAAGGCGAAGGCTGAATAAAGAGCCCTCCGCAGGAGCTATATTAATTGCCACCTGATAAGGCTACTTGTAAACTAATATATATCTCATAATTAAGTAATTCATCATCTAGAAGAAACCTCAACAGAATGAAGAAAGCACTGGACGGCCGTTTTGTCCTATATTTGGGACTCATCTGCAGTGCGCATTCACTACTGAGAATTGAACCCAGACTGTTATGATACAATGCAAGCATCATCCCAACAGGCCTCGGTGATGAAGAGGTTACTAATTAGACTCGATATATTGCTGCTCTTCACAAATTCTGTGGTGTAAGTTTCCCTTACCAATAGGTCTGTGCCCCCACTAGTCACAACTAATATCCCCAAGCCACTCTAACCAGAGCATTAGAAGACAGTTCAAGCAAGAATATTTAAGTGATAGAAATTATTAGAAGGATTTGAGATAATCATAATTAAGTAATTCAGATCATTAATACTATCTATCTACACATATATATATATATATATATATATATATATATATGTGTGTGTGTGTATATATATATATATATATATATATATATATATATATATATATATATATATATATATAAAAAAATTTCAAGAGGATAGAATCCAGATAGAACTCAATGTCCAGGACAGAGTAAGGATATAATAAAAGGCTTAAACACTAATATTCCATGGTTATAATTTATTACATTGAAATCGTAACATTCATCCCCCACTCTCAGACATACTGTCACTAAATTTTATTTTTTATTCCCAGAGTTATTTTTTCTGATTTCTTTTTGAATTTATAGGTCTGATTATTTGGATCGTAATTACGATTCTAATGTAATAATTATAACCATGGAATATTAGTGTTTAAGCCTTTTATATATATATATATATATATATATATATATATATATATATATATGAGCCTGATTTTCTGAGCCTGGCTTAGATGTGGCACAAGGGCAAAGTATGGGACACCCAGTGAGGATCAAACTCACTAGTCGGTCATAATGGATCAAGCAAGACTAGCTTTCTAACAATTACACCACGTCGAGGTGCCCATTTTTATATATATATATATATATATATATATAAAAATGTGTGTGTGTGATGGTTGTATCAGTGAGCCATGCTTGAATTCCAGCCAACCAAATTCACTATATTTGCTTTCGCATAAATACCATTATAAGTGGTATGTAACCATGTCTCTCCCTTCAGTTTTGGGTTAAGTAGCTGAGAACACTGGGCTCGGTAGCCTTGGTTGGCAACCCATCTGGGAGAAGGAAAACTCTGAATTCAAACTTGGAGAGGGTTGTCTGGAGACTTTGTGGCACTGTCCACCATATCTCTGCTATCATTTCTTCTACAAACCGGCTGGTTCTACACAGGCCTTTACCAAATCGTGTGTGGATTGTCTGACAGGTCGGTTCTAAAAATAAACTGTTCACTTCTCATCCTTTGAAAACTCGTTGGGAGTTTCATATGTAATGATGGATGATAACACAACACTCTCAATGATAAAATCAAATTTGCTATCATCTTGTATAAGTCGGAAAATAATGTTCATTGTCAAGTAGGCAAAGCTACTTAAATAGTAAAAAAAAAAAAAAAAATATTCCAAAAGTACATGCATGACTGCAAGTTTCACGTTTAGGCAATGTTTAGTATTGAACTCACACACTTTGGATCCTGCCACTGGGCTCTATAACTATGGATGGAGCCAGCATAACAATGGTACACCATCACTGGGAAGAGGGTTTCTTAGATTGACGTCAACAGCCAAGTTGGAGGATTTCCCTGATGGAATCAACGGCCATGGACTCTGACAGGTTTCCTTGTCTAAAGATATGCTACACATGAATGAATGCATTGTCAGTTTTCAACCTGCATGGGTTAAGGGAGCTGACCAGGTGCTCAGCTGTGACCACACCTAGTTACTATGATGATGAGGCATGGCATGTGGAACTAGAACAATCTAACACTGTGGATTAAATAAAGGGCTAAGAAGAAAGCTGGAGTGTACAACAGCCAAAACATCATGATATCGCAACAAAGATGAGGACAATGGTTCAAACATTATAAATAGTGCAAAAAATAAAAAAATGTCTATGTTAAGCCATAATGTATATAGAAAATAATGAATGAAAAATAAAATTTTATAGAAAGA